GTTTCGTTATCTTTTCAAAAAAAGGCTAGAGCTAATAAAGCAAATACGGCTAAAAGGATAACTACTATGGCTCATTGCGTGTTAGCTCCTCTCGCAAAATTCTCTTTTAAAAGGGCTTTATACTCGGCGCTTTTGCTATCCAAAGTGGGCTTAACTTTTTCATCATAAAGGCTAGTTAAAGCTCCCTTAAAGTCCGGTAAGTAATCTTTAATTCCCATCTAAGTTCTCCTGGTTTTTGATATAATGATAAATAAATAGGCCCACTGCGGCCGTAGCTAATAAGGTATAAGTTATCAGTTGGGTAGTTTCCGATTGGCTAGGCTGTAAAGCTTGTAAGCTAGTGCTTAACTGTTGAATTGAATTAAGCGGTTGATTGATGGGGAGCATGATTTTCTTTTTCGGCAGCTAACCTTTCGGCTCTTTCTTGGCGTTCTAAAAACTTAGCGCGCCGGTCCAGCTCTTCTTTGGAATAGTCACCGAGAGGCTTTAAGGGCTGATTAACTTCGATTTCTAGCGGAGAAGGAGCCGGAGCAGTGGGTTCCGAATCATCATAAAAACTTCTAAACTTCCAGTAACTTTCACCTTTTTTATCGCTCCTGATAAAGCCAATAAACTTTTGTTCGGCAATTTTCAGGATGTAAGTATTAGGTTGTTTAGGGTCAGTGTTTTTTCACAGCAATATCCTAAACTTTTGCGGGTCTATTCAGTGGCATTGACAACTTCCGTGGCTCGGAAGTATCGCACTAACTAATTGCTCCACTAAATCTCTGGGGGCAAGGGCGTTCATAAGTTTTATTCAGTTTCTTTTTTGCTAAATAACTTATTCTTGATAGTTTGTAATAAGCCGCTATTATAAAGGTAGCAGCCAATAGCGATTCCTAAGCAAGTCATTACTATCTTGCCGGTGGCTCAAGCTTTTAAGGTATTAGTTTGGTTTAATTCGTGGTTCATAATTTTATTTCTTTAATTGTTGAAAAGTCATATAAGCTACCGAAGCGCAAGTGCCGACAGCGGCAAAAATAAGCACGCTATAAGTTAAGGTTTTGCTTATGGTATATTCTAGCTGTTCGCGGTCAATAGTAGTGGGTTTGCGATATTTAGTTTCTTGGTTTTGATTTATATTTGGCATAATTTATTTGTTTTGTTTTAAATGGTTTTCGATTTGGGTCAGGGTAAAGCGAATGGCTTGGATATCTTGCCTTAAAAGCTTAAATTCGTGGGCTAGTTCTTTGATTTCTTGGGTTAAAAACATAATTTTATTAGTATTCTGGTTCTAGTTCGGGTTTGGGCGGGCTAAATTCTAGGCTGCGTTTGGTTTCGGTAGCTAGGAGGCGAAAGTTGTTATTAGTGCTGGTTAATTGTTGGCTTAAATTAGTTAGTTGACTGGAAGCATTATTTTCTAAGCTTTCTAGTTTGGTTCAGATTTGCTGTTGTTGATTTAAAACTTGGTTAAGACTGAACTGCATTTGCTGGATTCCGCTTAAAATATCGGCTAACACACCAGTAGGAGGTATCTTTTGCCCAGTTAACATTTCTAAACCTATAGGGATTCAAGGGATAAGGGGGAGAAGGTTTTCCGGGATTTTAAAGAGACCTTTGGGAGTCTGATTATTAAGGGGATTTTGTTGTCTTGCTTGCTCGCTAAACTGGCTTGGAGTTTGATTAAAACTCGTTTGCTGATTTGGCTGCTGAGCAAAAGCTTGGTTATTAAGTTTCACCATTATTGGGTTAATTTAATAATCGAATCGGCCGCAAAACAAAGTCCACCTACGACCGGCAATAAATCTACGGTTTGCTTAATTAGGCTCACTTTAAACATGCTTGTTCCAAATCATCATAAGGCTAAACAACTGCCGGCAATTACCAGTAATCAATGCTTTTTTTCTCACTTTCAGGCTAAATTAGGGCTTAAATGAGGGCTATTGGGGTTAATTCTTGCGGGCAAAGTCATTACTTATATTTCTTTTCTAAGGCTTTATTTAGTTCAGATTTTAAGCGCTTAGCAGGGGTAAATTTAAACCGATAAAAGGCGTAAACTTGCTTATCTCAGCCGCACTTTTGTTGGCTTTCAGTCTTTTTTAAAGAGCCGAAGGAGCCGCGAGTGCCAATTTGGATGGCTTCACTGGGCTGGGCTTTTACTAAACGATTAAATAAATCTTGGCTAACTAATTGGTAGGCTTGCTTTAATTCTTTTTGGCTAATAGGATTTTTCATATTTCAAAATATAGGAATTAGTTTGTCGACAGTTAATTTCTATACTTTTGTTTTTAGTTTTGGGCGATTTTTAGTGGTTAAAAAAATCGTTGATATATCACGTGGTATATCAGTTGGTATATCAACGGGTAAAAAAGTTGGATTGGGGGTTCGAGAAATTTTTGCTTTGGCGAATTTAATTTAAGGAGGGTTTGTTTTTTAAAATTAACTCTCCTAGGGCGTTCAATAATCTTGCTCTTCCGGTTGGTTAACTTGCTTTGTTTGGCTAAGCAAATAAATTAGTAAGCCCACGGTCAATAAACTCACTATGAGGCAACTTGCTTTTCCGTTAAAATTATTATTCACCGTTAAGAGAGAGTAATTTTTCACTTCTGGATTATGATTGATGTTTATCATATAATTATATTTTACCATTATTCTTTACACTATATGAAAATAAACAATTTTTAGCTAGTTAGCACGGTCGGGGCAATCAAAAAGTCCAAACCCCCGATAATTACTAAAAAGTTTTTGTTTTTTGGGATCAACTAGGTTAACGAAGCTTTCCCGATAATATTCAAACCAATCTTTTAAGCAAGAGCGGCAAAGGAATTTACAGCCGTTTCATTTTTTTCCATCAGTTCAATAAGTTACCTGGTTGATTTGGCTCCAATTCTTTTGGGGAATTACTCATTTTTGGATAAAGTTTTTTTGGCATTTATCACATTTAACTATCCTTTTCATTTTATGTTTAATTTTTAGGTTAGTAATTTATATTTAAGTTAGGAAGGGCAAATTAGCCTACTTTTGCGGACTAATTTTCTAAAATATACTTATAGATTTTTATGGTTAAATTTAAAAGTTCTCGTACGCGTATAAATATCTTGTAAAATTAAAGTATAGTTCTAAATAAATAATAAAATGAAAAAATTGTTGGTTTATTGCCCTTTCTGAAAAAAATCTACGCTTGTCTTAGCAAAAAAATTATTTTTCCGTTAAAATAGCACGTAAAATTTCATTATCAAAAGTGTGAAAAAAGTAAATTCTGCCGAAAAACTTCTTGCTAATTACTACCAAAAAGAAAGAAAAAGACAAAAAAATACGCTCAATTTAATTGCTTCCGAAAATTATCCCTCTAAAAAAGTTTTAACTTATAGCGGTTCTTTATTAATCAATAAATATGCGGAAGGTTATCCCCAGGCTCGTTATTATCAAGGTTGCCAAAATATTGATAAAATTGAAGAGTTGGCCATTGATTTAGCCAAGAAATTGTTTAAGGTGGAATACGCTAATGTTCAACCACATTCCGGCTCCCAAGCCAACCAAGCAGTTTATTTAGCCCTTTTGAAACCAGGTGATAAAATACTAAGTTTAAATTTACTGGCTGGGGGTCATTTAACCCACGGAGCAAAGGTAAATTTTTCCGGAACTTTTTATCAAGTTCATCACTATAATTTAGACCCCGTTAGCCAAAAACTAAATTACCCAGAAATTGACCAAATGACCCAAGAAATTAAACCTAAATTAATCATTGCTGGTTATAGTGCTTACAGTTTAAAAATTGATTTTGCCCAGTTTCGTAAAATTGCTGATAAAATCGGAGCTTATTTATTAGCCGATATTGCTCATGTGGCCGGACTGGTAGCGGTCGGTTTGTTCCCCAGTCCCGTTCCTTACGCGGATGTGACCACTTTTACTACGCACAAAACCTTAAGGGGGCCACGGGGAGCAGTAATTTTGACCAAAAAAGAATTAGGAAAAAAAATTGATAAAGCAGTTTTTCCCGGCAATCAAGGGGGACCAAATTTAGCCATCATTGCGGCCAAGGCCCAATGCTTTTACGAAGTTTTACAACCCGCCTTTAAAGTCTACCAGAAAAAAGTATTAGAAAATGCCCAAATTATGGCTGACTATTTTCAAAACCAAGGGGTTAAAGTAATTAGCGGTGGCACGGAAACGCACTTATTATTAATTGATACCAAGAACAGTTATAACCTAACTGGCAAAGCAGCGGCGGAAAAATTAGAAAAAGCGGGAATTATTTGTAATAAAAATATGCTTCCCTACGATGAGGAAAAACCCTGAATTACCAGCGGTATTCGGTTAGGTTCGCCGGCTTTAACCACGCGGGGACTAGAAAAAAAAGAATTTCAAGAAATTGCTGAAATAATTGATTTAGTTTTGCGTAGTAGCAATAATATAGAAGTCAACCAAAAAGTAAAAAATAGAGTCAAATGTTTAACCCAAAATTTTCCATAAAGAATCCAATCGAGACAAAAAACTAGCAAAATCAACAAAAACAAAAGACTTAAAAAGAATTTAATGGCGGACATTAATTATTTTTTTATCTAAATTATAAAATTTATTATATAAATATAATATGACAATAATTAAAAAATATCTAATTTATAATCGAGCAAATTTAATCAAGCCTATAATAATCTAAACTTAAAATTTTTTAAAACATTTGGCAATTTTTCTTACATGCACACGCACATATATTATAAAAAGCAATAAACATAAAATTATAATTTTGGAAATATCCAAATTATAAAAAAATAAATTAAAGTGTAAAATATATATTGTAGAAAAAAAATATATGACAGACAATAAATTTAATAAAAAAGAATTACAAAATAAATTACAAGGATTTGCGGAAGGACAAGATTATTCTATTCTTGCTGAAAATGGTAAACAAGTTTATGATATCCATTCCTCCGCGTTAAAAAAATCACTGTGGGGAGACCGAATTCCCGTGTGGTGTAAAATAGAAGTTTATGATAACGAGAATGAACATTATCGCGGTCGCTTTGAGGGATACGAAAATGGTTATCAGAGCCTCCAAGTATGGTGAAATGGAGATAAATTTAACCCCGAAAGCCATCCTGATTTTGATGATTTTAACCATAGAAATGGTTTTTTTAACCAGAATGGTCTAGACAATAATTTAATAGAAATTGGTAATATTTTTGAGCAGTGAAAAATAAGGAAAGATTTTAGTGTAGTTTCAATAGGGTCTAGTAAAAATGGTTCGGATTATAAATCGGAAACGGGCAAAGCCGAGGGGAATTTTGCTAATCAAAAAAATAAAAATCCTTGGCAAATTGGCGAAAATATTGGTCATGGTGATAAATTTGCTCCAATTAATCCCGGTCCAGCAAGCGACAAACATAACGAAGAACACCTTGCTTCGCTTAGAGAAAGTCAATCTGCCCTAGACCAACAAAACATCCATTTAAAAGCGGAAAATAAGTCTCTTGAACAACAACTAGCCCAAGAACGGCAAACTAAAAAAGAAATTGAAGAACAAGCCCAAGCCGAACGCAATAATCTACAAAACGAATTAAATCAATTACGCCAAGAGTTAAGGCAAACGCAAGAAAAAATAACTCAACTCCAAGCCGAGTTAAAAACTGAATTAACTAAAACTTCTAACCCTGATACCCAAAAAGTAATAAAACAGCTAACTAAAACTCAGCAAGAATTAAAAAAAATTGACCAATTAACTCCTAAAAATAACCCCCAAGAAGAACAATTAAACAGTTTAAGGGAACAATTAGATAATTCGCAGCAAGCCCTTAGTGCCGCCGCGGCTCATCGCCAATCGCTCCTTCCAGTCCAGCAAGTTCAATCAGCAGTGAAAAGCCAGCCTCCTGCCCTTTCTCAGCCGAAAAGCAAGGCTCCTTATTTAGTTGGCGGTTTGGTTTTTTCGGGGGTTTCCCTACTAATTTTGGGATACTTTTTAGGCAAGGAGAAAAAAAGAAATAAAAACTAAAATAAATTTTTGCTTGTAATCACCAAACTTATCAGCGTTTTCACTAAAAGGTTTCTACAAATTATCGTGTTTAATAAAAGTTTCGTGTGAGAAGTTATGTCTCCTAATAAAGATAATTCATTAATTTTGGCAAAATTAAGGCCTAAGGTTTAAAATTTGCTTGCCATAAGCAAAGGAATAATTTTTTTAGCAACCTTAATTTTTGCCTTATTTTTTTGCTTTAAGCAATTCTTGGTAGGTTGCTAATTTCTTTTCTATTTCATAATTAATTAGGGTATTGCAAACCTCTTCTAAATTTCCTTCCATAATAAAATCCAATTTTTCTCAACTTATTTTGAGCCGATGGTCAGTAACTCGATTGTCCTTAAAATTATAAGTACGAATTTTTTCCGCCCGTTCGGAGTTACCAATCGCCGAAGAACGCAAATTACCAATTTCTTTTTCTTGTTCTTGACGATGCTTTTCAAACAAACGACTTTTTAAAACCATTAAAGCTTTTTGTTTATTATCGTGCTGACTTTTTCCATCTTGGGAAGTAGCGGTAACGGTTTCGGTTTTGCCGTTAGCGGAATAAGTGTAAGTCACTTTTACCGCCGAATCAGTAGTATTGACATGTTGCCCGCCGGCTCCGCTGCTCCGGCAAGTTTCTATTTTTAGGTCTTGCGGACGAATATTTAAAACAATGTCTTGCGGTTCAGGCAAAACCACCACTGTAGCCGTCGAAGTGTGTTTTTCCCCTCCCTTGGCAGTACGGGGAATTCTTTGAACCCGGTGCACCCCGGCTTCATTTCTTAAATAATTGAAAACTTCCTTTCCTTTTATAAAAAAAGAAACAAAGGAAAAACTACCCAGACTGTCGGCACGGGTCTTTAATTCTACTACTTTTCAACCTTTTTTATTGGCAAATTTATCGTACATGCGGTATAAGTCGCGAGCAAATAAACTCGCCTCTATTCCTCCTACTCCAGGTCGAATTTCCACTAAAACATTTTGTTTAATTTCCTTTTCACTAATTAATTCTTGCTTAACTTCGTCCAGGAGATTATTTTTTTTATTTTCTAATTCGTTAATGTCACGGGCTAAAATATCTTTACTCTCGGAACCAGTTTCTACTTGTTCTAGCAGTTGGTATTCGTGTAATTCGTGGCTTATTTGGTCATATTTTTTTTTAATTTTTAGGAAAGCAGCAAGTTGATTATCTTGGGGTTTAGAAAAATCGGCTTCCAAAGTATTTTGGTTTGTTTCTAATTGGTGGAGGAAGTTGATTATTTTTTGCTCTAACTCAACCTTATTCATATTAATATTTTTGTTCTTTGGCCAGTGCTTATAAAACTAAATTTTTTAACCAGAATTAATTTTTCTCAACTTTAAAATGCTAAAATTTTTTATAATTAATGAAAATAAACAAACAAGACCATCGTGAAATTGCCAAAGATTTAGATTTATATATTTTTGCTGAGCAAGCCGGTCAAGGATTACCTATTCTTTTACCTAAGTGAGTAATTATTCGGAATCAAATCCAACAATTTATTCGCCGAAAGTGAACTGAATATGATTTTCAAGAAGTAATCACCCCTATTTTAGGAAGCAATGAACTATACCAAACTAGCGGGCATTTATCCCATTATCAAGATTATATGTTTCCAGAAATTAGCCGCAATAATGAATCTTATTACTTGCGGCCCATGACTTGTCCGCACCACTGTTTGATTTACCAACAAAAACCGCGTTCTTACCGTGAACTACCTTTCCGTTTAAGTGAAAATTCCCTTTTATTTCGTTACGAAGCCTCGGGAGCCATGAAAGGCTTAGAAAGAGTTCGTTGAATGGAATTAGTTGACCACCATATTTTTACCACCCCCGAACAATTAAAAGAAGAATTTAAAAAAAATTATCATTATGTAAATGATATTTTAACTAGTTTTAATTTTAAAATATCTCGTTTAATTTGTGCCCTAAATGACCCCAATAATTCGGAAAAATACCATCCCGACCAAAAAATTTGAGAATTTGCTAAGGAAATTTTAATTAGTTCTTTAAAAGAGTTGGGATTGGAGAATTATAAAACTTTGCCTGGAGAAGCTGCTTTTTATGGTCCCAAATTAGATTTTGAAGTGCAAGCCGCCGATGGCAAAAATATCACTATTGCCACTATTCAATTAGATTTTGTTTTGCCACAAAAATTTGGTTTATATTACATCGATAAAGGGCAAAAATTACAAACTCCGGTAATTATTCACCAAACTCCCATTGGCACCTATCAGCGCTTTATTGCTTTATTATTAGAGCAAAGCGACGGCAAATTACCTTTTTGGTTAGCCCCTTGCCAAGTGGCTATTTTGCCTTTTAATGAAGAAGAAGAAATTAAAGGTTATTGTGCAAAATTAGTCGGAGAATTAAAAAAAGAAAATTTGCGCGGAAAAATATTTGCCAAAAAAAAACTGAAAGACCGTATTCGCCAAATGTACCAAAAAAAAATTCCTTATTATTTGGTAATTGGTAAAGAGGAAGTTAACAGCCGAAGTTTGAAATTAATCCACGCCTATTCCAATGAAACAAAATCCTGAACAGAAAAAGAATTAATTAGTAAATTAAAAAATGAAGCGGCAAAGTAAGGTTTTTAGCCGGGGAATTATTGCCTTTGCTAATCAACAATTTTTTAATTGTTTTGCTCTTTGCCAAATAAAAAAAGAACTTGTTCCCTACTCCGCAAAGATTCACGGCAGCAACCAGTAAAATAATGTTTTTTTGTTCAAAAGTCTTTGTTCTGGGCATTTCCTCATTAACAAAAATACTTATATGCCCGCTGAATTAAAAAGTTTCTTTGCTGATTTACAAAAACGAGAAACTATTGCTAACCACGCTAATTTAGAAAATTTTTACCAATTAAAGCCTAAGGAAAAAGTAATTTACTGGGGGGTTGACTGTACCAAGGATAGTTTACATGTGGGCCATTTATTTGCCATTATCCAAATTATTCGCTTTGCCCAAAAAGGATTCAAAATACTTTTAGTTTTGGGAGGGGCCACTAGCCAAATTGGCGATCCAAGTGATAAGTTAAAAGAACGCCCGCAGTTAGCCGAAAACGAGTTAAAGGATTATTATCAACAAATCAAAGAACAAATCACTAATCTCTTGCTAAAAGAAAAAAAAACCTCTCAGCCAAACTTCCAACCCTTAGAATTATTTTACCGCGACAATCCTGATTTATTAAAAAAAATTTACCAAAAATTAGCCCTAGACCAAGCTAATCCGTGAAAGCAATATTTATCCTACATTTGACCGTTAGATAAAGATAATTGTTTTCAAATTCTTAATAATAATGATTGATTAAGTAAAATAAGTTTTTTAAATTTTATTAACCAAGTAGGCCGAAATATCACGATTAATTATTTATTAGCCAAAGAAACTATTAAACAAAGAGTAAAAAATCCGGAAACCGGCTTGTCTTTTTTAGCTTTTAGTTATTCTCTTTTACAAGCCTATGATTTTTATTATTTATATAAAAACTATAATTGTCATGGACAATTAGGAGGCAGTGACCAATGAGGAAATTTGACTACGGGGCTAGAATTAATTAAAAAAATTAGCCCTCCGGGGGAAGCTAAAACTTTTGCTTTTACTTTTCCTTTGTTAACCGATAAGGAAGGAAAAAAAATTTCTAAAACTTCGGCCGGGCAAACTATTTGACTTTCAGCCCAAAAAACTTCCTTTCATGAATTTTACGATTTTTTAAAAAATATGCCGGACCAACCGGCTTTAAAGTTTCTTTATCAATTTACTTTCCTTACTGCGGAACAAATTAAAGAAATTGAGCGGTTAAATAATCCGCGAAAATTAAGAATACCCCAAAGAATTTTAATTGAATTATTATTTTATTTTCTTTATGGAGAAACAGGAATGGAGTGGCTAAGTAAAAATCAAGTTTAAGCACAAAAAAATAGAAGTAAAAAAATTAATTGAAGATTAACATTAAACATGGTAATAGCAAAAGGTCAACTCATATTGTAAACTTTTCCAAAACTATTGGTGTGTTTGTTAAAAAATTTGGGAAAATGACGAGGATATTGGTTATGAAGCAGTTTCATAACGGGTCTGCTAAAAAAATAATGAATGAAAAATCCACTAAGAGCAATCAACCAAAATCAAAGAAGGTTTTTTCCTAAGGCAACGCAAAAAGAAAAGGTAAATAATTGGTCGGCAAAAAAAATTAACAAATATTTAATAGCGTTTTTTTGGTGGGCGGGTTTTTCTCTAATCATTTTCACCAAGAAACAAATAACATAAAAAAGGGCTAAGTAAAAACTAATGAACAGCCAAAGAAAAAGGAAAACACCGCAATATCCCTTGGTGAGTAAACCATAACGACCTACACCAACTCTATCTGAATAAAAAGTTGTTTTAACCTCTAAAAAAATGAATATAATAGTAAGGATAAAGGCAGGAGGAAAAGCCAAGAGAAAGAAAAACCGAAAGGGGTCTCAGTTGGGGTGTTTATGGACTTTTTTGCTTTCTCTTTTTTTCGGCAATTCCATAAATTTTTTTTAGGGCTTATGTCATTGACTATTGAGAAATCCCTAATAATCGTAAAGTATTAGCATAAATTTTTTCGGCTACTTTCTCCGGTTCCATTTTTTTAATTTCGGCGATTTTTTTTAGGGTATAAATTATGTTTTGGGGATAATTAATTTTTCCCCGTTCAGGTTCCGGAGTTAAATAAGGAGCATCGGTTTCTACTACTAAATTTTCTAAGGGAATTTTGACTAGTGCTCCCCCCCATTTTTTCTTTAATTTAGCATTTTTATAAGTAATATTGCCCGCAAAAGAAACATAAAATCCCAAATCTATAAACTTGCGAGCTATTGCTCAGGTTCCCGTAAAACAATGTAAAATACCCTTGTTTATTCCAGTTTCTTTTACTATTTCATAAGCCTCATTAAAAACTTCACTAAATTTTGGTTCCTCTTCTTCTCCTCTAATATGTAATAAGACTGGTAAGTTGTATTTTTGGGCTAATTCTAGTTGCTGTTTAAATCAAAATTTTTGCATTTCTCGGCGGTCAATATTTTTTTCTCAATAATAGTCTAAACCAATTTCGCCAATCGCAATAATTCGCGGATTAGTTAATTGCTTCTCTATTCATTGTAAATTTTCGGCTTTTAAATCTTCTTGGCTATTCGGGTGTAAACCCAAAGCACCATATAAGTTAGGAAATTCTACTAGTTGGCTAAGTAATAACTGGTTAGTGGGCATATCTTGCCCGGTATTAAGGATATATTTCACTCCTGCTTTTGCGGCGGCTTGAATAATTTCTTTGCTACTTCGGTCTTGTTTGTGATATTCTTTGTCGGCTAAATGACAATGAGTATCAAAAATGATTAATTTATTCATAAATTTTTAATCTTTCTCTGCTAATCATTCTAAAACTTTTCTCTCCGCTTCTTTTCGGCGTGGATGTTGAAAGTAATCTAACTCGCCATTAATTAATAATAAAGATTTAGCCTGTTCAAATGCTACCCGAATATAAGGCTTTCAACCCCGTTCGCTGCCTTCTAAACTTTGGATAAATTTCTTTTCAATTTTCTTTACTTCCCCAAAAAAATCTCATAATTGGTTACTTAATTTTTCCTCAATCACATCCGCCCCGCGGAAGAAAGTAATATCGTGTTTGCCAAAGGAAGCAAAAATATAAATATAATTAGCCTTGGGCAAATTAGAGTTTCACATTGGTCTGCTCCCCATTCTTTTACTGGCTTTCAATTCAATAGGAATGATATACTGGCTAGTAAAAATAAGAAAATCCGGGTAATTTTGGGAACCATAAGGGCTACGAAAGTAAGTATTATGAGTAAAAGCAGGAAAATTATTCAAAATTATTTCATTATGGCTTTTTTGCAAAACTTGTTTTTTTAAATTTCGCCACGGGCCTTTTTCCTTAATCAGGGTTAAGCGAAGAGGAATAAAATTATTTTTCCGTAACTCTTCTTCTAAACGGTCTTCTAAATGTTTGCCGTGCCTAATTCCTAATCAGTCATCTTTATTTTTCTGAATAGAGTTAAATATTTCTTTCAGCATTTAATAAATTTTTATAAGCTATTATAATATCATGCTTGCCAAAACCAGGAGTAATAGTGTTTTTTTGGGCTAATTTAGCAAAGTCTAGGCGTAATAGCCTTTTTTTAACTATTTCACTTTTACTTTTGAAAAAAATATACTGGCGATTCTTAAATAATTCTTCGGCTTTTTCTACCTTTTGCTGGTAATCATAAAAACCTTGTCGGACTACGGCAAAATCTCAGTTATATTTATCCTTTTGGAAATATTTTAAAGTAGGGTAAGTGTTATTGTGTAAATACATTTCAAAATCCAGGTGTTTAGTAATTGGTCTTTCGCTAATTCTTAAATCTTTTTGTTCGTTTTTTCGCTTGGTTCAGATTTGGAAGCAAGCATTAAGCGAGTAAACTTTGTTGTCCGCCAAAAAGGAATTA